GGTCCCTGATGCCTTGCCAAGCTTGTTCCAAGTAGGTGCTTTAGACCACTGAGCCATCTCTCCAGCCCAAATATATTGATTTTAAATTAATAATCAAATTTATGTATTAATCTTATTTAAAAATTCTATTTTCTACAAAAACAAGTTACAAGACTAACATTTTACAAATCTCCTTCCTTAGTGTCTGGCCTAATGTAAGATAACTGGATTCTTAGAACTGTTTCAGCATCAATGTGCTATGCTAGCATGTAACTCCACTATGTACTTGTGACAGAGCAGGAGGCAGAAGACAAATACTGGCTTGATATCATTATGAAAATAGTTTTGATTTTACAGAATCACTGAAAAGGTTCAGGGATACCCTGGGACGCTCTGGACCTCACCATGAGAACTGATGTTATGGAACCATGGTACGAAAGAGGCATCCGGAATGATTTAAGAAAGTCACAAAAAAGAGGACAAACGTGATGATGAGGTCAAAAAAGCAATGATTACTTATGTGTATAATTCATAAACTCACACTTTATGTAAAAACTTAAAAAGAAAAGAATTTCTTCTTGGGAGGTTTAATATGTGATATTACCTCAAACCCAAAAAAAGAGGCAATACTGCAAATGCTTCCAAAGAGAAAGTGTAGGCTTCAGAAGTCCCACATAAATCCTGAAAATATATGTACACAGTTTTCCTAAGATTCTCAATAAGTATCAACCAAAAAAAGTTAAGTAATAGTTTTCTATAGAAATTTAGTGAAACAGGGCCGGCCAAATAGCTCAGCGGATTAAAGCACCTGCAAGCAGGTACAGGGGCTTGATCCCCAGGCCTGCTGGGCCAGCCCCGCCCCCAGGGTGCGCCGAGACAGTAATTGAGACTGGGTGTGGTGGTGCATGCCTATAAGTCCAGCACTTGGGAGGCTGCAAATAGGCAGATCACTACGAGTCCAATCTAGTAGTGAGACCCTGAACACCCTGTAGACCATTCCCTAAAATACAAAAGAAAGAAAGAAAGAAATTTAATGAAATATAAAAACATCCCAGAGATAAAACAAATGTCCTATAATAAAAAATGTTAGATGTATGTCTACAGTGTTCCCAAATTTGCAAAGGGAAAAGCTACTCTAAGTATATATGGCATTTTAATCTAAAAGCTACTTTAAAATTTTTATAAGCAGCTTTCAAGAGGTTCAGGAAACACATCTCCCTTTTTATCACTCATCTGGGATATACCTGTTCACATGCAAAACTCCTCTCGGTTCTTAAAAAATGTCATTAATTTTGGATAATGTCCAGAATTAGAAGTGAAAGGAATGAAAAAAAATTTAAATGTACCTGCTGTCCCACTGAGAAGGCCTGGTTGTTGAACTGCTGAATAAATTCTGCGGCCATCTTGTCAGTATCATAAGGATTGGAGTCAATACTTTTCTTCTGCAGGAAATCAATCTCGATGGTCATTGTGCCAATACACTGCTTGGCTTTGTCAAATGTATATAAAGAGACTGAGAAGGAAAAAACATTTTTTTAAAAAATTACAAGGACACCAAATACTCGTGTTTCTAGTAATAAAAGTTCAGTCATATGTGAATCATAACAATACTCAACCAGAAGAGGGCTTCATGTGGCCTTCGCTAGACACAGAGGCACCAATTTTCAAAATAACAATAACCACTACAGACTTTCTTCCTCATCTGAATTAAGTAGAAAATATCGAACAATCTCTCCCCCCTTTTGCCCCTCACCCACCTGTGCAAAACTGAAGCCCTCTCAAAGTCCTAACAGAGTTGGCACTGCATGCAGTTTTCAAATGTTTTTGTTTGACATAAGCAAGGGGTAGGCAATGGGAAGTAGGCAGATGCTTTTGCTCTACAAAATAAGATGTGGGGCCAGGGGCGGGGAATCTGCGAACAATGTTTACCAGGGAACACTGTTCTAGAGCAAGTTAGAATGTGATATTTCTCTTTTAATACTGTAAAAATATTAAGCTGGGCATGATGATACATGCCTATGATCCCAGCAGTCAAGAAGCTGAGGTAAGAGAATCTGCAAGTTCTAGGCCAGGCTGGAAGACACAGTGAATTTAAAGCCAGCTTGAACTATATGGTGAAACCTTGTTTCAAAAAAGAAAATTATTCAACACCTACTATATAGTCAGTTGTATACATAGATGATATAAAACAGTGCAGGGGGCATGTTTTTAACTCATCTTTTATTATAGCATCTAACAACATATTCTGGGTGCTTAATATACTGAAGAACTTCTTAAATAATACAGCAAAACCTCCATGATTTCAAAGCTAATACCAAAGGGGACAAGCATATATACAAAGCACTGGTTAAGAAAATGGTATTCAAGTTATGTGAAAACTTTTTTACTCCTCTAACATACCAAAGTGCCCGAATGCTCAGAGTCTGCAGGCTCCACATGCACATTACGGGTTCATTCTCTATGTGCTACTGATACTTGTTACAATAACTATGCAATAAACTTAAAGTATTACAAATTTTATACTTTCACAGTCTAGAATTGGTATTATAAAATTAAGTGGAGCCAGGTGTGACGCACACCTGTAATCCCAGTACTCAGGAGGCTGAGGCAAGAGGATCGCCACAAAGTTGAGGTCAGCCTGAGCTACATGGTCAGATGCTGCTTCAAACAAACAAATCTTTTAAAACTAAGTGATAAGCTTTAAGGAAAAACTTGGAAAATGAACTTTCTATAAACTAGGTGTAAGCACAAAAATTAGAAAAGATTAGGGGTGAAGTTCATTAAAATCCGAAAGGATTCTTTCATCTTATATGCTTCAAAAAAGTCGAGTTCTCCATTCATTTCAAAGAAGCCCATATGAAAATTGTGGTTGTTTATGTGTAAAAGACAGTGTCAAACTCTAGTCCATGGACCAAAATTCCAAGAAAAGGTTTTTAACCTACTTTTGAAATAACTTTCAGTCCAGTCACAAAGAGTAATAGAACTTCTACAGTTTTCACAAAAACAAGTTAAAAAAAAAAAGATTGTTTTTTTTTCCTTTCACTTTAGAATAAAGGTAGTTTTGTGAATTATTGTGCTCAAACACCAAGAAACCAAACAAAAAAAATCACCACAGTGCAGTTTTCAGTTCATCTGTAATTACTAAATGTCAGTTGCAAAGTTTATAATGATTCACAAACAATGTTGTTCACTTCGAAAGTATTTTGAGGGTGGGAGATAGTTTGGCAGTCTAAGCACCTGCCTGGCAAGCACAAGGACCCAGGTTTGATCCCCAGTACCATAGGCTGTGCGAGCCCCAGAACCCCGGGCATGCCAATTCAACCATTGAAACCAGGTGTGGTGGCACACCCCTGTAATCCCAGCATTGGAGAGCCTGAGGCAGGAGGATCATTACAAGTCCAAACTGTGTATGGAGACCCTGTACCAAATAAGTAAATAAATAATAAAAATTAAAAAAACAGGGGACCTGCCCCATGGCTCAGTTAAGTGGCTGCTTCAACAAAGCAGTCAGGCTCAGGTTGCTGTGGTTCGACCCCTACAACTCAAGCCAGCCAAACCTGCCCTGAAGGCATTCAAAGAAAAAAAAAAAAAAACCTTTGATTTTCTGTTTCAACAGATCCTGCTAGAACATAGGTAAATCATTTTATCTCTCTGTACCTTCATTTGTCACATCTGTAAATTGGAAAGAATAGACTATGTAATCCTGTATGGCCATTCTTACTTCATACTATAAATCCTATATTCTAGCCACTTAACGTATGTACAAAGATTTTCTATAAATTCTTTCCGTGAAATTCCCTGTAAGTATATTTTTATATTTTAGCTTGCCATCATTAAAGGGGAAGATGTATTTTATTTTATTTTTTTAATTTATGTGTGTGTGTGGCCAGCTCAGCCCACCAGGGGGCGGGGCTGGCTGGCATGTGGTGCTGGGGGATTGAACCACGGTCCCTGTGCTTTGCTAAGCTTGTTCTAAGTAGGTGCTTTAGACCACTGAGTCATCTCACCAGCCCGGGAGGATATATTTTAAATATCTCAAAAGCTAAATAAGAAAGCCTCAGTAAGGGGTGAAAAATGTATTAAAAATCAAAGAACATGTTCAACTTATAGCTGAAAGTTTCAGGGTACCCTCCTTCCTCCATTCTGGACATTTCATTTCTTCTTCACATCTCTTAAAAAGCACATGGGCCAGGGAGACAGCTTAGGCAAGCATCCGGGTCTAAGTGCCAGGATCGTTCAATCCTGGCACTGCATGCCATGCTGGCCCCACCCCCGGGTGCGCTAAGCCGGTGATGGGAGTCCAGGGGTAGTGGTGCACGCCTATAATCCCAGCACAAGGAAGGCTGAAAGCTGGAGGATCACTGCAAGTCCAAGCTGCATAGTGAGACCCTGAACCAAAAAAACCCCCACAGGTTCTATGCTAAGTAACTTTTACAGACAAAAGAGATTATGTATTTTTCCATATACTGAGTACTTACACTAATGGATCATTATTAGTACTTATATTAGTACTTATATTAATTGAAATACTAATGGATTCAGAAATTCCATTTTCAGGTTACCTATCCCAGAAAGATTCTTAAACAGCTGCCCCAAAAGATATCTACAGGGAGGTGCACTGCAGCATTATATTTGCAATAGTCAAACAATAATGAATGAAATGTGTTTAATTTCATTAAAATAAAATTGTATCGGGCTGGCAAGATAGCTCAGTGGCCTAAAGTACCTGCTTAGGCAAGCTTAGGCAAGCATGCAGGGACCTCGGTTCGATCCCCAGCACCACATGCCATGCCAGCCCCGTCCCCAGGGTGGGCTGAGCTGACCATAAACAATAAATAAAGGAAACATTTAAATAAATAAATAAATAAATAAATAAATAAAATTGTATCTATATTTAACAAATAGGTATGGTCCACGAAAATATAATACTGAATGCACAAGTATATTTCAGCAATATTTGTACAGTATGATATAATTATGTGCATCAAAGACAATCTTGTAATACAATGCATACATGTATGTATATGCTCACATAGGTGTACATATGTATATCTTCATGCTGAGAAGTTAAAATATAATCTCTGACTGTAGTTTTCAAGTTCATTTTAAGATTGTTCCTAAACAGAAAAGACCAAGCTGTTACAATTGCAACACTATGGGCAGTACCATGGACAGTATCACAGGCAGCACCATGGTCAGCACCACAGTCAGCCCCTAAAAGACAGTCTTAAAGCAAAGGAAGTGGAGAATACTTTCTTATTTTATGGTTAATAGCAATTTAATGAGTTATGGTCAATGTTTTGAATGAACTTAAACATTACAATAGCACAAGAGTGCTTTTATAACAATGTAAGCCACAAACACACCACTTATCAAAATTTATGACCTTGACAACCCATAACTTACCAGAACATGAAGCTATGTTAAAAGTTAAATTTCAGTATACTCTTACACTGAAATTTAGATCACCAAATTTAAGAAAATTAAGAAGCTAAGCTACATACGACCTTATCTCATTTGATGTTTTAGCAAGTGTTCACTTTCCTCTCAGCCAATGTCTACAAATAGGATGCCCTGGCTTCAAGTACTGACCTAGTTATTCTGGTGCTAACACTCTCCCCCTTTTCAGCTTTGCACTATCCTTCATGTGAGGAGGTGACTGTCAAGGGAAATACGTCAACACTTCCCAAAATGTAGCTGATAAGAGCCATTTAAGAGTGACTTCCAGAAGCACACACATGAATCACATTCCCCAATGAAGGAGCCTGTGAATCTTTTCTAAAAAACAAACTCCTTCAGTAAGTCTTTTAAGCAAGTAGGGAGAGTACTAAGCACGCACCCCTCCCCATCAACCACTCGTATCTAAAGTAATCGCCTTTGTTTGTATTTTCAAAGTTCTTTACCCCTGATTTAACTTTCACAAAAAAAGGAAATGCCAACTAAAAATAACCTCAAATTTAAGTTTCCTCTAACTTAGAAAACACTGTAAGTTGTTACATTTGTAAATGAAAAGTAAAATGTCTTCTCCTGCCACTGTATCAAATGTTCTTACCTACTTGGCTTCTTTTAGCCAAGACAAGCTATTATACCTTTGAGTATCTTCAAAAGCACTGCTTCTCGAGGCTAATGGTGGGCCTATTGATTTGAATATTCCCCAAAGCTCCACAGAAAGAACAAGAAGACAATACCACATACATCCTACACCCTAACATTGCCAAAATACAAAGAGTACCATAAACCCAAACCACACAAAAACTAGAGCAATAAGCACCAAAATTACAGAGCTCCCACTACGGAATGGGGATAAGGCAGAGATCAGGAAAAACGACATTAACAAAATCATCTCTTTAAAGAGAATACCAGTACAAAATACCAAAAATACTACACAATGATTTAGGGCTTAGAGGCTTACAGCTAAGAAATGATTTGAAAGCAAGTGGGATTAGAAGTAGTAGCATCAAAGAATCACTGTTGGCCAGACAGAGAAAGACTATGTCCTGAAAAATGTAACAT